ACCTCAAAGAGGAGGAGGTGGAGGAGGAGGAGGAGGAGGAGGAAGGATCTCCCAATTTGTGCTGAGCATGAGAAACCAACCCCCTCCTTCCAACCTTTAAGACATGCAAGAACTGGGGGGGGGCAGTTCTCCTGTTTCACTTCCTGCTGGGATTTGGAGACGGCCAGAAGCAACATGACACCCTCTGTCTGCTTCCAGCCTTCCCAAGCTCCTGGTGGGAAGTGAGAGATCAGTCAGGAGAACATCTGCTACACCTCTGCTGTTAGACGTTTGCAACACAGATACATTATTAACTTTGTGCCAAAGAAGCACATTCAACTTACCTTCCTTTAAAAAAGGCCACATAAAAAATTGGTGCATAGGAGTTCACAAATTTCTTGCAGGAAAGCCTTCATAATTAACCTCTCCTCAAAAGATTTCTCAGTTTTGGGTATCTCTGCGAACAAAAAGAAACCAGAAGGAGAGATGGTTCATTGGTGTAGTAAAATCCGAATGATGTATAAATCCCAGCACATTCTATACTTGGAAGAAATTCGGAACCCAGAAAGCCAAATTCTGTGATGCAAAGGGGATTGTGCTAATTTTGCAAAATTTCTATTTTACTTTTCTCAAATGCAGAGGGAAGCTGGTCATGTGGTGGAAGGCAAACTTATGTTTCAAAAGAAATGTACTGATTTTCTCACTGAGGAGGAATCCCAGTTTCTGATAAACTTCTCAGGAACTCCCAGTGTCCCTGCTCTGTGATTTAAAAGGAGGAATAAACAATGTAGTCTTCTAAGAGAAAGAAAGTTGCATATATGCTACTAGCATTACCCATTTCTGTGAGCCATTTGGCAACCACTCCATAAATCTCATCTAGGATAAGTATCACAACAAGATTAATGATGACTGCAGTAGCTGTCACTGTCACACGGACGTTTGACCTGGTGGACTCATTGGTACTCATCGACAGAGCTGCCGCTGTGGTTATCCGGTATACAATCACACCAAAGACTAGTGAAAATGTCAGCGAAATCTAAAAAGAAACATAAGAACATAAGAAAAGCCAATGTTGGATCAGGCCAATGGCCCATCCAGTCCAACACTCTGTCACACAGTGGCCAAAAATACCAGGTGCCATCAGGAGGTCCACCAGTGGGGCCAAGAGACTAGAAGCCCTCCCACTGTTGCCCCCCGCCAAGCACCAAGAATACAGTGCATCACTTGCCCCAGACTGAGAGTTCCTATCTATACCTTGTGCCTAATAACCACTGATGGACCTCTCCTCCATATGTTCATCTAATTCCCTCTTGAATCCATCCATGCTTGTAAACATACAGAAATTCATCAGAACAATTTGTCTTAAATGTTCCTTAGCCACAGCTTAATAATTCATGGGATATAAGAACATAAGACCCATGCTGGATCAGACCAAAGGACCCCCAAGTCCAGCATTTTGTTCATGGTGGCCAACCAGCTGCCCCGGGAAGCTCACAAGCAGGATGACTGCAACAGCTCCCCAGCCATTGATATAAAGAGGCATTCCACCTCTAGTACTGGAGCGAGTAGATATCCACCACGACCAGGCTCCAATTTGTCCACTCCCCTTTAACACTTTCCAAGTTGGCTGCCTTTACCACATTCTATGGCAAGTTCCACAATTTTATACTGCGTGCTGAGGATTATTCACCCCAATATGCATTACTTTACACTTGCCCACATTGAATCTCATTTGCTGTTTTAATGTCCATACCCTCAGCCTGGAGAGATCCTTTTGGACAATCTGTTTTTGTCTTAACCACCATAAAACATTTAGTGTCATCCACAGACTTGGCCACTTCATTATCAACCCTAACTCTAGGTCATTCATGAACAAGTTGAAAAGCTAGGGTGCCGGCAGGGGATCCAGGCTTCACTCTGGGATCTTCTGGTGCACACATTTTCTGTGTGTACTACAATAACATCACCCAGAAGTGATGTCATCATGTTGGGGACATCAGGGGTGACACTCTAGTTTTTTGGGCAAAACTCTATGGGTTTTTTGTCTTCAAAACCATAGAGCTTGCCCAAAAACCAGAGCATCACCCCCCACATCCCTGATGTGATGACATCACTTCCAGGTGATGTCATTGTGTCTGGAATGTTGCCCAGTGATGTCCCTTTTGGGGGGGTGGGGCTTCCCCCACTGGCCACTTCGCTGGTGGCAGATTACAGCCCCCAAAAGCAGGGAACCCCTGCATTGGCAACCCCATGAAATGCACCATTCCCAATACAAATCCCTCAGGAATCCTGCTGCTCACATCCCTCCACTGTCAGAACTGACCATTTATTGCTACTCTCTGCTTTAAGAGCCAGAAGAACCTTTCCAAGACTGGGTACAGCCAAAAGCTCCAAAATTCAGCATTTTTTATGTTCTGTTCTGAAAGGAAATGTTATGCAAACACAAGACATGGATTGCATTCACAAGAAAATGTCTGTTTGATATTCCACTGCAAGATGGTTGCACAATTCTGTTTGGTTTCAGATTTCTGCAGCCCTTAAACTGCTTATTATATGTCCCATCCTGATTACTCTGATTTACTCTATGCAATCTGCCTTGAGTCTCAGTCAGAAAGGTGGACTATAAATTATGTAAATAAAATAAACAGTTTGTCGGGGCTTGTGTAACAACCCATGAATATTTTGAAACAAGGCTTTAACAATCGAGGGGAAGACTGTCCCTTATGGCCACCGGGAAAAGTCCCAGTGGGCCAATAGCCTAGGGAGTGCCTCTCCTGAGCCACACCACCACCACCTGGGCCCTACTGGCTAGGAGGGGTGAGAACAGCAGCCCAGCATTGCACCCACCCAGTCTATGCTGCAAAAAAGCTAGGTGATACACCTGGGTCAGGTGAGGTGGGAGGGGGCAGAGCCCTTTCTAGGGCTGTTTTGGCCTCTCAGTCCACCCATGTTTAAATCTAATCTCAGTTGCAGACTTACTAGGTGGTGGCAGGCAAGTAGTTGCTCACTGTCAACCCCATCTTCAATATGGGGTAATAATCTTAGCCTCCTTTACGAGCTGTAATACTGAGATATTGCACATGAAGCTCTTTAAAGGCTTGGAAATGCTATATCAATGCTTAAAAAAATTTTTTTTTTAAGGAAATGCTATATCAATGCTTAGAGGTACTATTCCTTTTTGTGGTGTATTAGAAAAGCCTGGGGAGGAAATTATGCCTACCCTGACTTACCATAAGGGCAGAAGAAGGAAAACTAAGATTTTAATATATGCATATTACCTTCTCTCAAAATTCCTTATATATTTTGAGGTAAATCTGGAGTTCCTTCTCAAACAAAATATGTAAGCAATTTTGGGGAAGGTAAAAGAATTGTGTGAAAGCCAGCAGAATTTCCCCACATTCCCCACAAGTCCCCACATTCTTCTTGTTTGGGGGATTCAACTAGGAAACAGACTCAAGCACTTCTCATATAATGTGTTGCGTATGGTTGAGATTTGTGTGTAGAAAGAATGACTATGTCAACAGATTTTCCCACAGATTCTGTTCTAGGCTATACATTGCAAGGGCTGTCATTTGACTATGTGAAATCTTTGAGACTTTGCAAATATTTGCAAGCGATGGGAACAAACCACATTGCTGTTTCGGACCATGTGCGAACATTCAGAGTGTGAACAGAGAGGGCTCCTTTCTATAGAATTATCCCCAAAGTCACAGAGTATTGAATTGCAGCTGAGGATTTGATGTTAACTCACATATATCAGCCATGTCAATCATGCCACTCAAAGGCTGGGTTCCCACAGCAAGAAGGCTACATGGTGGGATTGCTTTTTCAATTTATTTTCTTTTTGCTTTTTGCTTTAAAGCAAAGCAAAAAATGAAATCTCATTTGGAAATTTGTCTGCTGGGAAGAATAGGGAGAGATACTTTTTGGTCTTATTTTTCCCTTAATAAGAATTTCAACCCAAGGTCATTGCTGCTGAAAGGGGCAAATCATGGGACAGCATGAACTGCAAAACTATAGCATCCCAGATAGCGATCATTAAGATATAGATCTATGTAGGGATGGGCAAGAACCAGCTCATGAACTAAAGCTCATGATTAATTTTAGCCAGTTCGTGGTTTGTGAAGCAATGTTCATGAACTGAAGAGCTGCCATGAACTTCCATGAATTTTAACGTAGTTCGTGATGGTTTGTGAAGAGCAGAAAGCAGGAGTTTAAATGGCTCCAAACCATTTAAACCCCTGCTTTTTTTCTCCCCACAAAAAGCAGTGAAGAGCAGAAAGCAGGAGTTTAAATGGCTCCAAACCATTTAAACCCCTGCTTTTTTTCTCCCCACAAAAAGCAGTGAAGAGCAGAAAGCAGATATTTAGATGGCTCAGAGCTTTCTGCTTGCTGCAGTTTTCAGCGGGGAGCAGAAAGCAAAAGGTTAAATGGCCTGGAGTCATTTAGACCCCTGTTTTCTGCTCCCTGCAAAAAGTGGAGGAAACAGAAAGCAGAGGATCACAAACTGATGCAACCTAGTTCGGTTTGCAAACCAACCTATCGTTAGTGGTTTGCACATGAACCATGAACTGAACCACAAAAATGCAGTTTGTGCCCATCCGTAGATCTATCTGTCTGTCTGTCTGTCTATATGTAAGTACATGCAGCATAGAGATGAATGCCAGTCTTGAGATGCTGAACTGTTTTTAATGGCATGTTTCCATAATCGATTTTCTGGCATAACACTCTTTTGAAAATGACAATCAAAACATCACTTCCAACTCTGGATAATCCTACTCCATCATTCCAACGCTTCAGCTATATTGTTTAAAAGCCTTTAACATGAGTGTACATATTACTGTCACTGATTTAAGGTTGTAGGCAGTGTTCCCTCTAAGCTGAGTTAGTGTGAGCTAGCTCACAGTTTTTTAGCCTCCGGCTCACACATTTTTGTCTTAGCTCAGGAAGGATGGCTCCGGAGCAAACTAATTGATGCAGCAGCCATATTGCTCGCTCACAGCTTTAATGCCACTAGCTCACAAAATAGAATTTTTGCTCACAAGACTCCACAGCTTAGAGGGAACATTGGTTGTAGGTATTATTGCTTAGCTATGTTCAAGTCAAGTCAAGTCAGCCTTTATTGGCATATATGAGTAGATCAAAGTCATTATAAGAATATACAAGTAGAAGGACACTGTATTACAGATACATTGAATAAAATCATAGGTTACAACTGTACTTTTTCTTGGCGCAGCAGCATGGCAGATTGAAGGAACTTAGCCACTTTCTCAGTTACTTCAACAGAGGAATCATTAAGAAGTTTATAAACTTTGAGTGAATCTGAAAAACCCATCATGTTGGCCAATATAGGGTATTTAGAGTGTATTTGCATAAAAGTGACAGTGCAAAAAAACATACAAGATCATCTAGATTTACATCTAGATTTACAAGGGCAATGTCTAGCCGCATATGCTGTCCTATTGAATCTGCCATATTGAATGGCCGATGGCATGGCCTTGCATCTGGCTAAAGAGAAAGTTCTGTGTAGTTGTGGCACTTGTAGGGAGGATAAATATGGAGCCATCTTACCTACAATGAGAGGTATCTCAAAGCTCAGAGGAGAGCAGGTTTTGTTGGCAAGACTATATAACTTCTGACGCTCAATATCCAACATTCTCTGTTTGATCAGCTGAAATGCACCCACTAATGGGAGCATAGTCAGTGAGTCCAGGAATCTACCCATGGCCTTAATTTCCCCCTCAGTATACGTTAGCCAGTTTGACATGTTAGACTCTGAAAGCATTTGGTATATGAAACTCCCTGGGTCACAATTCTAATGTAGACATAGCCAATATTTAAATGTCATAAGCCAGACTCTGGTTTCAACTAGATTCAGACCTGTTTCTAAGCAAAGAACTGCATATGGGACACACTTTGGCAAACCCAAAACTTTGTGCAGGAATTTGGACTGGACACAGTCGGTGGTACTGTCTAAAGCCAACTTTGGAATGGGACAGTAATACTGTATCATCAGCATATAGAAGTAGGGGTACACGTATAGAGCCAAGTTTGGAGCTATGATAATCAACTCCTGACAAATGAGGGGCAAGGTAACTGAGAAAAAGATCAAATAAAAAGGGAGCTAGAATGCAACCCTTTTTGACTCCCATGTTAGTATGGATTTTCGGGGTTAATTTGCCACTCTGGATTTATTTTTTTTAACATACAATATTTATTCATTAAATAGATATTAACACGTTCTTAAACCCAAAACCATTTTACAAATTAATTCCGTATCATCAATCATAACATACCAAAGATTACCCATGGACGGATCCCATCTTGAAATTTAGAATCATTGAAATCATACACAGAATTTGTTTGGGACAATTCAGCATACTATGAACCAAACTACATTAAAAAAAAAAAAAGGGTGTTCCCTGCAGCCACAGAGCAGCTGCAAAGAGCTGTAGCTGTGCATCACAGGGGAAGATGGCAGACATGCAGGGCAGATTCCTTAACAAAGCCACTGAAGTGACTCCTTGGGGTAGCAAAACAAGGAAGGCATTAATGCACGAGATCAGTTCACTCCCACTCATCATAACATGGGAAGTGACAGGAATCCCCTCCTGGTCCCACACTACTGCCCAGCCAGGTCCCTGCTAAGCACTGCCACAGGGACATGTCTTGAAATGTCTGGCAGTGAGGCAGGCCCAGAAAGGGATGGGTGTATCTTTTGGTGTGCAACAAAACACTTTAAACTGGCCCTGTGGATATAGCATTTGTCAGGAATTCTGTTTTCAGCAGCACCAAAATGGTGAGATGCTATATAATATAGGCAGACCCTCAGGAAATCTTGAACGACAGAAGCCTCAAAAGACTGCACCTCCATTATTAATAGCCCGTGCTTCTTTTCAGAGACCCCCTTTTTCTCGCTGGGATATGGAGTTTTAAAGTACAGCCACTGTTCACCTACTTCAGATTACTTAACCTAGTTTTCTTCAGTTTCATTAGCCCACAGGCAAATCCACTGCCAAGCCCTCTGGCTTGTGGTGCTATTGCCAGAAAGGCCATTACTCTTCTGTTTTGGAGCCCATCACTTGTTCATTTCTAAGGGTAAGCTAAGTGGACAGAAAGTAGCAACAGTAATGTGTGCTTTTGGGTTTGTAAAGCCATGCAACTCAAAGCAAACACAATGCAGAACCACATGAAAGAATACAATTACATGCAAACAAAATTACCATAAATAAGATTGATGCAAAGTTCACTAGGTATCCAGGGGTACGATCTTTCCAGGTCAGCTTGTCTTTTTCATCCTGTTGGAAAACAACAATGAAAATAGGAAAGCATTAGAAAGCAGCACTCCCTAAACCAATACAGTGTAGTCGTTAGAACTTTGGATTTGGTCTAGGAGAGAGGGGTTCAGATCCTGTTCTACTTGCCACCGCCCCTTCTCATGAAGGTAATCTTGAATAAATGATTAATTCTCAGCCTAACTCACCTGAAAATGCTGTTGTTGGGAAATGTGGGTTAATTTAGGGCTGCCAATCTCCAGGTGGTAGCTGGTGATCTGGTATTACAATTGATCTCTAGCAACAGATCAGGTCACCTGGAGAAAACGGCCAATTTGGAAGGTGGACTCTATGGCATTATCCACCATTAATGTCCCTCCCCTTACCAAACACCGGCCTCCTTTGGCTCCACCCCCAAAATCTCCAGATATTTCCCAACTTGGAGCATGGGACATTTTTAAAGTATTGTATATTCTCTCCCCCCCCCCCCCCCCCCGGCTGCAGAACTGATAAATGGTTTAAAATTTAGTTTTCAGAAATCTAGCTACAGTTTGAACTTAAATAACTGCTTTTTCTTTTCTCAAGTGACGGTCTTTCCAATCATTTGTCACCTGATACTTTTTAGCTGGAAATGCTGGGATTGAATCTGGGATGGGGGGGCAAGTCTCCCAGGCTGGGCCCCCCGTTCCCCATCACCACTTGACAGACTAGTGGGGGAACCCTTCCCTGAAACCCACTGAAAAACCCATGAAAGTAAATTGAATTGAGAATATCATTGAGAAATGAATATCTATTACTGCATATTTATGTGCGCCTAAAAACAAAATCAACAAAGCATCGCCTACTTATACTATTTAATTGAAAAGGGGTATTTTAATTAAGCCAATAAACAGTACAATAAACAGATGTCCTAGAGACAGAGTCAGTTTATTTAAAAAATTAATTTAATTTTAATTATTCCAAATTCATTGCAGTGCTTTAATCTGACAGCTGTTAAAGTTACTCTTGTTAATAAACTGCTTTAAGTTTGCTGAGCTTGTGCCTACATCCTTTTCAATAAACTGTCAACTGGTACCACAAATGCTGAACTACTTGCATACAGCTTTCCCCACTGAAGTCAGAAAACCTGTTAAATTGCTTCCACCTGTGCAAGCTTTTTAGTGTCTCCAAGGCAGATAATATTTTACCTGAAAATTATCTCAAAAGTCACCCATTCAACCAACATTATTTGCTTTAATATGCGCAACTTTGGCCTAATGGATATAGGCCAGTTGGCAAATTTACTTTGCAATTTGTACTGTTCAAATTATGATGTTATGCTGCAGTATCTTAGCAACACTTAACAGCTCTGTTGTCGGTACAGATTACAGATATGATTCTCAGCAGTATTACAGGAGAAAGCCATGGTGCCAAACAGAAGAACCAAAGACAACCTCTAATAACAGAGTGCCAGTGTACTGTAGAGTTGCCAGGTGCACTTACCCAGCGGGCAGGGGGTGGGAGGATGCCTTCCGGGAGTGGGAAGGGCAGGGCATCGTTAGCATGATGACATCATGTAGAAGTGATGTCATCATGCCAGGGACATTGCATGGCAATGCTCTAGCTTTGTTTACCACACAGGATTTGGCCAAAATGCCAGAGAGTTGCTGTGCAATGCCGATAGTGATGACATCACTTCCATGTGACATCATCAAGGGGGTGGGACTTTCCGCACTGGCCAGCTGGTTCCCGACAGATTGGACCCCCCCCCCAAATAGGGGGAAACTCCCACCCAGACCGGGGGTTTTGCAGACCCTCCATTACCCTCAGGGACAGCAATTTAAAGAGCTCACTGGGGGGCAGTGATAGGAAGAAGGCAGGAGAGTTCTACTCCCATTAGCAGACCTTCTCTGATGGTGCTCTGGATCCAACCCATGTCAATTGTCTATCCGTTATCTTACAAAAGACTTTATGTACAAGAAAACAACAAAGACGTTTATGGCATGTTAAAGGCTGATAAACTGTGGTGTGACTTTTGTGGGCAAGAATCTGCTGTACTGCAGTGCATCATGGAATCATCTGGGGGGAAAAATCAGGAATAAGGACTGCTTGCTCCACATCCTTGCAGAAGCCTGAGAACTTCATCTTGGGAAATTCCTGAAAACTAGAGGGTACTGTTTGGGGAGGGCAGCATTTGGGGAGTGGAGCTCAGCAGGGATATAAGGGGAGTGGAGTGGAGTGGAGTGGAGCTCAGCAGGGATATAAGGGATATAAGGCCATACAGTCCACCCCCTCTATGGCTGCCATTTCCTTTAGGGCAACTGATCCTTGTGATCCGAAGATCCATTGCAATTCTGGGAGAACTTCAGGCCCCACCTGGAGGTTGGCAACCCATCTGTTAACAGATGCTCCCCTCCTGCCCCCACCATCAGTATATGGTCTGATTCAGGATAAGGCAGCTTTCCCCCTGTGTTCATGCGACTGTCAACCACGCGATAGATGCAACATCATATTTATTTATTCTAAGCATTTATATCTTGACATTCTCATCCAAAATTGTCAGCTTGTAAGAAATGTAAAATCCAACACACAGTTAAAACAATAAAAAAACAAAACAACAACAACAACAAGCCACCAAGTTGTAAAAATCATATAATGTGCTCAAAACAGTGTTATAAATGGCAATGGATAAACAGTAAAAACCACAGAACAGAATTTAACATTTCTTTAAAAATCAGCAGATCTAATAAAAATTACTGTAAAAACAAGCTAAAAATGAAACACACAAAACAGAAACTATCAATTAACAGAGGGCTTGGAAAAACTAAAGCTGCCAGTTGGGTGAATACAGGGAGAACCTTCCCAAAATGCTACAGCTGTACAACTGTCCCACCTCAGTGGAAACAGAGAGAGAAATATTCCCAAATAAGAACTCAGCTGACAGACTTGCTTGTATGGGAGCAGACAGTCCTTTATAGCTTTATAGCCCATTATTAAAGTCACTTAGGGCTTTTAAATAACTGTCACACTAAATTGGTCCTGGAAACAACCAGTCAATGCACATGATTTAAAACTGGCAAGATTTCTTTTCTATAATTGACACCAGTCACCCATCTGGCTGCTGCATTTTGGACTATCTGGAGCTTCTGGACTGTCTTCAAAGGCAGCTCCAGGTATAGTATACCACAGTAATCTAAATGGATGGAATCAGAGCATGGATAACAATGGCAGAATTGGGACACGGATGAAGATTTTTAAACATATAACAACCCCCATAAAAGAGATCTGGTGTCCATCTCAAGGCGCAGACCTAAAAGCACCACCACCCCCGGCTGCAAATTAGCTCCTATAAGGGGGATTGGACTTCCATTTACAACAAAAGCATTAATTAACCCCTGATTGACTGTATTCTTGACCAACAAAACTTCAATCTTATCCATTCTGAGCAACAGTTTATTCAGCTGATTACAGCCTCCAGAGAACAGTTCAGAATATCTATCATCTTGCTTGATTTTTTTTTTAAAGAAAGTCTAGCTGAATGTATCCACCTATTGAGGACACCTTACTCAAAACCCCTGGAAGTTCTCTCCCAGAGTTTTCATGCAAATGTTAACCATTATGATGGATAAAACAGAACCCTCTGGAACCACAAAGCACCTGTATCTTGGGACTGAGCTATTATCTCCCAACACCACCTTCATCCAGGTAGAAATGGCTAGCCTAATCTCATCAGATCTTGGATGGTAAGCAGGGTTGGCAGGGAGACCACAAAGGAAGTCCAGGGTTCCTATGCAAGTAATGGCAAACCACCTCTGCTCATCTTTTGCCTTGAAAACCCTACAGGGCCACCATCAATCGGCTGTGACTTGACACGACTTTCCACCACCATTGATTACTCATATTCTCTTTTTCTCTTTCAAAAAAGCATTTGTCTTTGATTTGACTTTGTGGTTTTGCATTATACTTCTATGCAGCTTTTTGTAGCTTCAGTCATTGTACTTTTTTTTTGGGGGGGGGTTGATATTGCATACCACAGGATACTAGCAGAAGGGTGGGAAGATTTGAGAAGGTATTGCCTGCCTTTGAATATCTGCAGAGTGAAATTCTCAGATTTTGCCGAATCTCCCTTCCAGTCCTTTGTCGCTTCGAATTTCTCTTTTGATCAAAGCAAAATTGATTCAAAACAGATTCCAAATTCTAAAGAAGAGGGGATGAAATAGACTGTTGTGTTTCAGGGAGGAATACTGGGTAAAAAGGAATTATGAGAATTTATTCTAACAATGCTACTCCCAAGCCTAATCCTCAGGCTTGCCAGTCCCCAGGTGGGGGCAAGGGAATCACTTGCTTTTGTGGGCTCCTGCCCACTGCTGGTCAGCTGGCCAGCGGGGAAAAACCTCATCCCCAAACAGGTGTCCCTGCACAATGTCAGCAACACAGTGATGTCACTTCTGGAAATGACGTCATCATGTTGCAACATTGGGGGCAGCACTCTACTTTTTGGGCAAAACTCTATGGTTTGTAGCCATTTTTACCATAAAGTTTTGCCTCAAAAGTAGAGTGTCGCCCCAATGTCACTGATGTCACATCTGGAAGTGACATCATTGCATCACTGATGTCCCCCCCCACAATGCCCCCCATATCCCCCCGTGGGCACAAGGTGGGCACTTGGCAACCCTATTAATCCTAGATCTCCTGTGGAGTTTGGAACTGGATTGTTGGCCATTATTTTGAGTCCTGTGTTTTCAGTATTCATCCTATGTGTTAGAGGTCTAAAAATAAAGATGTCCTGGAGACTCTTTTACAATGGTGCAATCCTTTAATCATCAATAGCACTTCACCAGCCTTACAGCCTCTTAAAAACGTGCAGCTCTGTGACTGCAAACTGGAGTCATTCCTTCACTACTAATGAAATTACATTCATGTCCAAGTAAGGGTGAACAAATTACCAACAGATTAGGCATCTGGAAACTTTTAAGCAATTTTAACAAAATGTGCATTGTTATGAGGAAAAGATGTGTTTTTCTTTGGCTGGGGCATTATTCCTT